AGGATTTATCCAAGTACGTAAGACTAGTTCAACATCTGAAAATTGATTAATGTAATCCACTCCACCAACAGGCTAAAGAAGAAATATCACATGTTCACATAAATAGATGCAGAAAAAACATTTGATGAAATCCAGCACCCATTTATATATTTAAAAAAAAATCTTAGTAGTCTAAGAATAGAAGAGAACTTCCTCAAGTTGGTAAATAATATCTACAAAAAACCTAGCCCTAACAACAAACTTAATGGTGAGACATTTGAAACTTTCTAAGATTAGGAACAAGGCAAAGATTTGCCCTTTCACAACTGCTTTTCAATATTATACTGAAAATGCACTAAAAGTCCTAGCTAATGCCCTAAGACCAGAAAACAAAGGAAATAAAGAAGTATATATATTGGAAAGGAAAAAATCAAAATTTTGGGGTTTTTTGTAGATGACATAATTGTCCAAGTAGAAAATCCAAAAGAATGGACAAAAAATCTCCTGAAACTAATAAGCAATTACAGTAAGGTTGAAGGATACGGAGTTGTTTTCCTATATACCAACAATTAACAAATTTGAAATAAATTTGAAATGAAAATGAAATACTTAAGTATAAGTTTAACAGAATAAGCACAAGATCTATATAAGAAAAACTATAAAATTCTGATGAAAGAAATTAAAGAATTTAATAAATACAGAGATATTCCATGATCATGGATAGGAAGACTCAATATTGTCTTCTTGCTAACTTGATCTCTAAATTCAATGCAATCCAAATCAAAATCCCAACAATTGGCTCAGAGCCTGTAGCTCAAGTGGCTAAGGCGCCAACCACATACACCTAAGGTGGCGGGTTCAAATCCAGCCCGGGCCCGCCAAGCAACAATGATGGCTGCAACCAAAAAATGGCCAGGCGTTGTGGCAGGCGCCTGTAGTCCCAGCTACTTGGGAGGCAGAGGCAGAAGAATCGCTTGAGCCCAGGAGTTGGAGGTTGCTGTGAGCTGGTCCCAGCTACTTGGGAGGCTGAGGCAGGAGACGTGCTTGAGCCCAGGAGTTGGAGGTGTCGCTGTAAGCTGCAATGCCACAGCACTCTACCCAAGGGGACAGCTTGAGGCTCTGTCTCAAAAAAAAAAAAAAAA